CGTTTCACTGCGAAGCTTCGACTGTGAGATTGACAGTCGAATCAGGCTCCGCCCATCGAAGCATTGAATCTTAAGCCGTCAGTCTGCGTTCTTTTCTGTTCTTGTGAAACGCCATCAGTCGCAGCCAAAGTACTGTTCCAATCCAAAGTCCGCATCGAGCCAAGTGCAGTCAAAGACCCGGATGTGTTCTCGCTCCGCCCGTTTTACCGAGCCTGCAAAGCGGAAATGTCGGAGGAGAAAACTCACAACTGTAACTTTTATAATGCTGCTGTTCTCGTGTCACAGTTTTTTTTTTTATGTGGGAATATAGTTGTTTAAACTCCAAATACGTGGTCGATTTCTCAAGACGGAGCCGATTTAAAAAATTGCTACTACGTTTTCGGAGATTTGTGAGGTCCCGCCCGCTAACGGGTCCGGACGCCATCAAGTCCACTGCTGCTCCAATTGCTGAATGACGGACAGCGTGCCCCCGTTCCTGGAAGTTTGTCAAACAGAAAATATTTAGATATTTAGTAGATATACACCAAAGTTGTAGTTGATCTCAGGACTAAATGATAGACAAAAGATCTGCTTCACTTCAACACCGAGGTTGATTTTCAGGTTTTCAGTGTAAAGGAAGCCAAAGAGCGCCAGAGCTGAACAGCTGACACTAATTACAGAGTCACTTACTGCTATTTGGCAAAACACCACACACACACACACACACACACACACACACGGAGCTTGAGTGTTTAATGACCAATGAACAGAGCTCTTCTTTCTCTCTTCCAATATGGCAGATGGGAACTTTCAGTCTGTCAGAAGATGAAGGCGTCAGCTCAGAATAAACACACACACTGCAGCCTTTGTGATTTTCCTAAAAACCAAACTTCCACCGACAGCGAAGAAAAAAAGGTGCATGTAGGTAAAGTGAAGCAGAACAAACAAACAAACCGACCAGCTCAGGAAAATTATTTATAGCCCTTAAATCTATACTGAGACTTGATGACTTGAACAAGACGGTTTCCCTGAATCACCGTATCTTCAACAGCTGATCTAAATATACGTGAACTGTTCCACGTTATTAACATTAAGCTCCTTGCTGTATTTTCACCAACTGCACTGCGGCCACAAACAGTTAAAGATGGAAGGAGACAAATTCAGCGCTGCAAGTACAGGTTATTTTCATTATTCTTTTATTAAAGTAGACGTCTTGTCTTGTCTGACCAACAGTCCAAAACTCAGAGAACTGATCAGAGAACTGATCAGTTCAAACATTCCTACATGTGAGAAAACTGCAACCAGAGAGAATTTAAAAATATTCTTGACCATTAATAATTAACAGTTGCCCAATATTTAATCAGGTGATCGGTTTTCTATCATCCGTATTATTTTAATACTGAAAGAGCTTCGGATATTCTTATTATTTCTTAAACTGTGGTATTTTGTTTGCACGGTGACGTAGACTCATTTATAACAGTTTTCAACTAGGAAAATATCAACACTGGATCTGACCCTGGATCAGCACAAGATCAAATAACTAATATATTAATTAATAATATATTATTTAATAAGGAGCTGAAATAAAACAGCAGACAAGGAGAATTTAATGAAGAGTAGAAGAAGATGGACCGCTGCACTATGAGCTAGAGACCAATCAAACTATAATTGGTTAAAAGTACAGCATGTGTGTGAGAGAGAGAAAGAAAGTTTTTATTAATGAGCTGGTTTCAGCTGCCCAAACGCTGCCACGCTCCATTAATCAACAGAGAAGAAACTCCAGCTGCAGCCGATCATTAATCAATAAATCATTACAGTCAGGAGAGTCCAGAGTGCCGCAGGCGCCCCCTAGAGGCGGCAGCGTTCATGACAGCCACAGCATGAACAAACAGCATACCAGAGATGTTTCTATTCTTAGAGTCAGAAGGCAGTTTTCACTCTGCAGCCATAATTCTGTAGTTTCACTATCAGAAACAGACAGCGGAGGAAACACGGATCCATAAAGAGAAGTGCAACAGGAACCGATTTATTTGAAAGCAGCAACTACAGAAGCAGAAGGGTTTAAAGTCAGAGATGGTGGTGCCTCAGCTGTCCGGTCTGTTTAAGAAAATAAACTTTACTTTGATTTGTTTTTGCAGTCTTAGCTTGTAGGAATTGGTTTTGCCAGATGTCTGACTGACTACTATCAATACTGATATAGAAATCATTCAAATACATCTGCAACAGAGGTGGGACCAAGTCATTGTTTTACAGTCCCAAGTCAAGTCCCAAGTCGAGACAGGCAAGTCCCAAGTCATTGATTTACAGTCCCAAGTCAAGTCCCAAGTCAAGACCCAAGTCCCAAGTCATTGATTTACAGTCCCAAGTCAAGTCCCAAGTCAAGACCCAAGTCCCAAGTCGAGACAGGCAAGTCCCAAGTCATTGATTTACAGTCCCAAGTCAAGTCCCAAGTCAAGACCCAAGTCCCAAGTCATTGATTTACAGTCCCAAGTCAAGTCCCAAGTCAAGACCCAAGTCCCAAGTCATTGATTTACAGTCCCAAGTCAAGTCCCAAGTCGAGTCCCAAGTCAAGACTGGCAAGTCAAGGTCAAGTCCCAAGTCGAGACAGGCAAGTCAAGCTCAAGTCCCAAGTAGAGACAGGCAAGTCAAGGTCAAGTCCCAAGTCGAGTCCCAAGTCAAGACTGGCAAGTCAAGCTCAAGTCCCAAGTCGAGTCCCATGTCGAGACAAGTCAAGCTCAAGTCCCAAGTCGAGACAGGCAAGTCAAGGTCAAGTCCCAAGTCGAGTCCCAAGTCAAGACTGGCAAGTCAAGCTCAAGTCCCAAGTCGAGTCCCATGTCGAGACAAGTCAAGCTCAAGTCCCAAGTCGAATCCCAAGTCGAGACAGGCAAGTCAAGGTCAAGTCCCAAGTCGAGTCCCAAGTCGAGACAGGCAAGTCCCAAGTCGAGTCCCAAGTCGAGACAGGCAAGTCCCAAGTCGAGACAGGCAAGTCCCAAGTCGAGTCCCAAGTCGAGACAGGCAAGTCCCAAGTCGAGTCCCAAGTCAAGACTGGCAAGTCAAGGTCAAGTCCCAAGTCAAGTCCCATGGTGAGACAAGTCAAGCTCAAGTCCCAAGTCGAGACAAGTCAAGCTCAAGTCCCAAGTCGAGACAGACAAGTCAAGCTCAAGTCCCAAGTCGAGTCCCATGTCGAGACAAGTCAAGCTCAAGTCCCAAGTCGAGTCCCATGTCGAGACAAGTCAAGCTCAAGTCCCAAGTCGAATCCCAAGTCGAGACAGGCAAGTCAAGGTCAAGTCCCAAGTCGAGTCCCAAGTCGAGACAGGCAAGTCCCAAGTCAAGACTGGCAAGTCAAGGTCAAGTCCCAAGTCAAGTCCCATGGTGAGACAAGTCAAGCTCAAGTTGAGTCCCAAGTCAAGACAGGCAAGTCAAGGTCAAGTCCCAAGTCAAGACAGGCAAGTCAAGGTCAAGTCCCAAGTCAAGCCTCAAGTTGAGACAGGCAAGTTAAGGTCAAGTCCCAAGTCAAGGTCAAGTCCTAAGTCAAATCAAAGTCCCAAGTCCTAAACTTTGAGTTTCGAGTCCTTAACACATCATAATGTGCTCTTCACCAAATTGAATACCATTTCATATTTTTAACAAGAGTTAAACTTGTACAGAAAAAAGGCAGAGAAGCAGTTTCACACAACACATTTTGTATAATTTCATGAATTAAACGAAGAGTTGATGCACACAATTTTTATTGATATCATCATTTATATTTGGGGTTGAGGAGGGTGTCAAGTCAGTTTGAGTCAAAAGGCTCAAGTGTCCAAGTGAAGTCACGAGTAATTCATGTTAAAGTCGAGGTTGAGTTGCAAGTCTTTTTGATTTTGTCAAGTCAAATCTAAAGTCTAATTTGTGAGGCGGATCCACGCCTCTTATTTGTAATTGAATACATTTAAATATGCAATTTAAAATGTAGCTTAATCACCAAAACACATGAAAAAGCTGCAGCTACTGAAACCTGCCAATCCAGTTTCCTTTAGCAGGAGTTCAGCTGTTTTTCCTCTGTCATGAATTGATTCAGCTGCTGCGTTTTGTGGCTCTGTTTGTAGTTACTGCAGAGATTACGCATCTCTATGGCAATAAAAAATAAAGCAGGATTAAACTGTTGACCGTAGCAGCACCACCACAACACTGGGCGGCGGAGTCGTACATTATCAGGCTGTGAGTGTCGCACATTTATTATAAATTCAGAATAAGTGTTTCCATTCATTGTCATCACCTTGGACGCTCACTGCAGGCGCCAGAAACACTGCTGAGTTTCTGCGAAACCTTTATGTGCAGGTGTGTTTATGTAGAGAGATATTTGAGCTTCATCATTCCAACCAGCAGAGCAACACTGACACATGAATGCATTTGTAGAGGATTTTGTCCCACTGATGGGACTCTGCCAGGAATATTTCATGAGATTTTTTGACATGAACCACAGCGCTGGGTGGACTGATGCACGTCACAGATAACAGAAATACTGAATGTTTTGTCCAAGGGGGGTCAGCGAGAGTTTGAACAGTGAGGCCGACCAAAGCCTGCATGGAGGGTTCCATGTAGACCCAAATACTGACATCAAAACCCATCAGGGGAATCTAAAAAACCTATTTGGCCATCAGTGACAGTGTCTTGTCGATGGGCTGATTAAACAGAGTTACAGTTGAAGTCAGACGAACACACTGAGCCAGAAGACTTTCTGTTGGTGCAGCCGTGCAGCGACCAGAATTACCGGGTTTCTGCCGTCGCTCTGCGTCTTAAATTGCTTCTTAAACTCGCGATCATGCGCAGCAGACCCTGGTGCAAACAGGAAGTAGCCATGTAGCAGTCCTACATAGGACCAAAATTAGCTTCACTGCTCTCCAGTCAAACTTGTGGCTTCCTCCATTAATTATACTGTCTATGGTTTTATCACCAACTGAATGCGTCTTCTCTGGATTAACAGATGACCTCAACGAAATCCAACTGAAGGATTAAAGTGTGTGTGTGTGTGAGTTACTGACCTCTGGCCTGCTCCAGGTCAGGGTTCATCTGCTGCTCTGATTGGCTGGGAGGTCTGTAGGGCGGGGGCTGTCTCAGAGGGGGCGGGGCTGCACCTGGTTGCTGTATTGGTGTAAAGAAACAAACAAACTCTGTGACCCAGTCTTCATAGAACATATCAGAGGAGTTGAGCTGTTAGTGGGTATTAGTGTTGTGTTTGATGGCAGTGAAAGGGATTAGTACACCCCCCTCCCAGTCAGTCGGGCAAGTTGAGGTTGTGCTGCCCTCTGCTGGCGTCTACAGGACTGAAAGACTAGACTTCTAAAGCACTGTCAGTCTGTTTTTGTTTTGTTAGTGAAGATGAAGACAGGCGAGAAGAGAGGAGAGGTTGTGACAGCCATCTTTCCACAGGGCTCAAGGATTCTGGGAGAACAGAAACTTCTACGAATAAATAGAAACCAGTGCCTTCCTAACGTGCCACTACAGGTGAGGTAATTCCAGTTCTTACCGGAGACTCTTTCCTCTTTGTTTTGTGTTTATTGTAGCTGGAAGCTGTTAGAGACAAAGGCTGAAACAAACACACACACAGATTGTGAGACATGCATGTGCACCAGATTTATATATGTGTTTGTATTTACAGATGTGTAATCTGTGTGGACTGGATTTCTGTCTGCAGGGGAGGTGAGATCACTTTTCGTCCTTTGTATTTTTATGTCCTTTAAGACCAAAGCCTCCCACCGTCTGTTACAGAACAGATCCTGTCACTTCCCCAGGGGTTAAAATGGTGTCCTGAGTGAGGAGCACAGTGAAGATTTCATCCCCCACCTCCCTCCCCCCGCCGGGTTATGAACGGCCGTCTGAATGAGGTCGAGTGTGTCGGTGTTAGTACCCGTGGAGTAGCTGACAGGCTCTGCACGATGAAGACAACGGGGCTCGGAGCCGATTTGATGGCACTGACCGCCTCCTCGTGACTGGCGGCGTGTAGGTCAACACCTGACACCTGCACGCACGCACGCACACACGCACACACGCACACGACAATGTTGAGATAGGAAGCAAAACACTTATCTCAGGTGTGACACTGTGTAGACAGAGTCACCTGTCAACAAATTAAATCTTAAGCTTCATGTTTCTTCTCTAGTGATGATGTCTGAAAGTGAGACGTCAAGTCAGGAGAAGTCAGTTTAAACACTTATTTTCCTGCATAATTTCAGTTATTTTCAGACTTGCTGCTGTTTGATGACGTTTGAAGATTTCTCCTCTTAAACTCTTCATCTAATGATTTCTCTCTCTGCGGTTTCACTGGTTCACTGGTTATTCAGAGTGAAGGCAGAAGCACATCACATGACTTAACACAGCCAATGCATGTACTGCAGCTGTCGACGTGGGTATTAGACCCAGCCTTACCTCCAGGATTTTGTCTCCGGTCTTCAGACACTTTGTTTTGGCAGCAGGACTGTTTGGCAAAACCTGTTTGATGAAGATTCCCTTCAGCTCCTCGCCGTTCTTCAGACGCTTGATGACATGGTGACCTCCAACGATGCTCAGACCCAATGACTGACCCTCCTCAGGCCACACCTCCACCCTGCGGGGGCAGGAAGACTGTTTATTACCCACTTGTCTGTCCCACAAACATGGGACAGACAAACATAAATAATCATTAATTTTTTTCTCCTCAGTCATGACACCACACAGCCCATTCTGGGTGCCCTGGCGGTCGCCGTCGCTAATCGCAGCCATTCTTGTCAATGCTTCACCAGAGGCGGCTGCATCGCGTCCCAGAAGCGCTTCCCACCGCTCCGCAGAGAATAGGTAGCAGGTCTATTTTTGAAGCTAGCCGCCTCAAGCAGCGCAGATCGAACCAGACAGGAAGTCGGAGACAGAACGGCAGGGTTCGAGTCACGTGGGAGCCAGTGGGAGCTCAGCTCCCATAAGGAGGTCTGAGCTCCCATGGAAGCAGTGAAATCATGTGTCTGTGGGTCTAATTCATTTATCAACAACCATTATTTTGAGTCACAAATAATGTCTTTTTCATTGTAATTAGTGCTATTATTTACATTAAACAAGATAAACAGACTTAAATTAACACACTTTCCTAATGAACTCCGCTGCGCATCGCAGGACTGGCTGCACTTCTCCACCATCAGCCACTATTGTGCGCACAGTTTTGACCGAACAACTTGAGGTTGCGACACGCAAAAATTAACTATTGTAGCCTACTGTATAACTCTGTATTGACTGCAGCTTATTTGTTTAATATTTATTGGCTTTTTGATGCATCCTCCTATTAGTACAGCAACAAATGATAATATGCTTGCTACTGTGTGCCGGGGTCAGCCTGTCAGTGCTCAGACCAGACGCCGCACCCTGCATCAAACTGGTCTGCATGGCTGTCGTCCCAGAAGGAAGTCTCTTCTAAAGAAGATGCACTTCAGTTTGCTGAAGACAAGCAGACTAAGGACATGGATTACTGGAACCACATCCTGTGGTCTGACGAGACCAAGATAAACTTCAGATGGTGTCAAGCGTGTGGCGGTGAGGAGTACAAAGACAAGTGAGTCCTGCCTACAGTCCAGCATGGTGGTGGGAGTGTCCTGGTCTGGTGCTGCCGGCACTGGGGAGCTACAGTTCACTAGCGCCGTGATGTCGTCATGCAGGAGTGGAAGAGGACTCCAGTGGCAACCTGTGAAGCTCTGCTGAACTCCATGCCCAAGAGGGTTAAGGCAGCGCTGGAAAATAATGGTGGCCCCACAAAATACTGACACTTTGGGCCCAATTTGGACACTTTCACTTAGGGGTGTCCTCACTTTTGTTGCCAGCGGTTTAGACATTAATGGCTGTGTGATGTGTTATTTTGAGGGGACAGCAGATTTATACTGTTATACAAGCTGCACGCTCACTACTTTACACCGTTATACAAGCTGCACGCTCACTACTTTACACCGTTATACAAGCTGCACGCTCACTACTTTACACTGTTATACAAGCTGTACGCTCACTACTTTACACTGTTATACAAGCTGTACGCTCACTACAAGCTGTACGCTCACTACTTTACGCCGTTATACCAGCTGTACGCTCACTACTTTACACCGTTATACAAACTGTACGCTCACTACTTTACGCCGTTATACAAGCTGTATGCTCACTACTTTACACCGTTATACAAACTGTACGCTCACTACTTTACGCCGTTATACAAGCTGTACGCTCACTACTTTACACTGTTTTACAAGCTGTACGCTCACTACAAGCTGTACGCTCACTACTTTACGCTGTTATACCAGCTGTACTGTCACTATTTTACACTGTTCTACAAGCTGTACGCTCACTACTTTACGCTGTTATACCAGCTGTACTGTCACTACTTTACACTGTTTTACAAGCTGTACGCTCACTACTTTACACTGTTATACCAGCTGTACTGTCACTACTTTACACTGTTTTACAAGCTGTACGCTCACTACTTTACGCTGTTATACCAGCTGTACTGTCACTACTTTACACTGTTCTACAAGCTGTACGCTCACTACAAGCTGTACGCTCACTACTTTACACTGTTATATCAGCTGTACTGTCACTACTTTACACTGTTATACAAGCTGCACGCTCACTACTTTACGCTGTTATACCAGCTGTACTGTCACTACTTTACACTGTTATACAAGCTGTACGCTCACTACTTTACGCTGTTATACCAGCTGTACTGTCACTACTTTACACTGTTCTACAAGCTGTACGCTCACTACTTTACGCTGTTATACCAGCTGTACTGTCACTACTTTACACTGTTCTACAAGCTGTACGCTCACTACAAGCTGTACGCTCACTACTTTACGCCGTTATACCAGCTGTACTGTCACTACTTTACACCGTTATACAAGCTGTACGCTCACTACTTTACACTGTTATATCAGCTGTACTGTCACTACTTTACACTGTTATACAAGCTGCACGCTCACTACTTTACGCTGTTATACCAGCTGTACTGTCACTACTTTACACTGTTATACAAGCTGTACGCTCACTACTTTACGCTGTTATACCAGCTGTACTGTCACTACTTTACACTGTTCTACAAGCTGTACGCTCACTACTTTACGCTGTTATACCAGCTGTACTGTCACTACTTTACACTGTTCTACAAGCTGTACGCTCACTACAAGCTGTACGCTCACTACTTTACGCCGTTATACCAGCTGTACTGTCACTACTTTACACCGTTATACAAGCTGTACGCTCACTACTTTACACTGTTATACAAGCTGTACGCTCACTACAAGCTGTACGCTCACTACTTTACGCTGTTATACCAGCTGTACTGTCACTACTTTACACTGTTCTACAAGCTGTACGCTCACTACAAGCTGTACGCTCACTACTTTACGCCGTTATACCAGCTGTACTGTCACTACTTTATGCCGTTATACAAGCTGCACGCTCACTACTTTACACTGTTATACAAGCTGCACGCTCACTACTTTACGCCGTTATACAAGCTGCACGCTCACTACTTTACGCCGTTATACAAGCTGCACGCTCACTACTTTACGCCGTTATACAAGCTGTACCGTCACTACTTTACACTGGGGCAACGTGTCATATCTTCAGTGTTGTCACATGAAAAGATAGAATCCAATATTTACAAAAACTTGGGAGGTGCATTAACTTTTGTGAGATACTGTATGTATGTGTCTTACCTGCGGGGGGGTCCCCAGTGACTGAAGGCAGGAGTTTCCTCTCCTTCCCCCTCCTCTCTTTCAGGAAGATCCCTGTGGGGACACACGATGTTAGCTAAATGTTTCTGTAGTGGCCGTTATAACCAGCTGGAGGTACAGCATGTCTCCTACCTGTGGTCTCCTCTGAATCGTAGAGAGGCTCCTCGCTGGCTCCGCCCCTTCCTTCCTTCTGTACCAATCATCCTGACAGACCTCCACAGAAAGAAAACAAAAACGTTTGTCATCAAGGACTTTTCACTCATCATATTTACATCTAAACAACTTCCTGTTTCTTTTATTCCATCAAACTTCCCAGCGCTTCTAACATACCGACTTTATTTGGGCGGGCCGCCCACGTCTGCAACCGGCCGCCCACGTCTGCAACCGGCCGCCCACGTCTGCAACCGGCCGCCCACGTCTGCAACCGGCCGCCCACGTCTGCAACCGGCCGCCCACGTCTGCAACCGGCCGCCCACGTCTGCAACCGGCCGCCCACGTCTGCCTATGTCTCTTACCGGCCGCCCACATCTGCCCACGTCTGCTACCGGTCATTGCTACTGGCCGCCAACGTCTACCTACGTCTCTTACCGGCCGCCAACGTCTCTTACCGGCCGCCCAGGTCTGCCCACGTCTGCTACTGGCCGCCCACGTCTATTACCGGCCGCCCACGTCTATTACCGGCCGCCCACGTCTATTGCCGGCCGCCCACGTCTATTGCCGGCCGCCCACGTCTATTGCCGGCCGCCCACGTCTGCCTAAGTCTGCTACCGGCCGCCCACGTCTGCCTAAGTCTGCTACCGGCCGCGCACGTCTGCCAACGTCTCTTACCGGCCGCCCACGTCTCTTACCGGCCGCCCACGTCTCTTACCGGCCGCCCACGTCTCTTACCGGCCGCCCACGTCTCTTACCGGCCGCCCACGTCTCTTACCGGCCGCCCACGTCTGCCCACGTCTGCTACCGGTCATTAAAAGCCATTGTAAAGCCATAAAAATACAGCAAAAACAAATCTGGAAAAAACATAACATAAAAGATAATAAAGATGTTGTGTCTGTCAGTATTAAGAGTTTTGCCAGTGAAACTGGCACGGTGGTGCATAACATTCATCAATATCCAATATTCCAATTGTTATATTCCATCAGTACTGTCGCTATTAATGCAGCTTTCACCCACATCTCATGGCTTTCTTCAGTGAATGGAACTTGTTACCTAAGCAAAGGACTCGGGTCTCCGAAGACAGCTGTGGGATACGGTTCAAAGCTCTACTTGATTTATCTTCTTTGGTTTGGATATTTACATTTCCCTTTGCAAGAATCCTTTTTATGCATGTGTTTAAAAACCCCAAATCATAGCAGTCATAACTTTTAAAAATCACAAGAATCTAACAAAGGATATCAGCATCAGGGGGCTCTCTGGAAAAAACAAAGATGTTGTGTCTGTCAGTATTAAGAGTTTTGCCAGTGAAATTGGCACGGTGGTGCTTAACATTCATCAAGGAAAAAACCGACTGATTTCAACAAACCAGATGCTTGTTTGAAACACACACACACACACACACACACAGTAAGTGGTGTTTGAAACACCAAGAAACTGACAACTTAAACCAGAAGAGGGCGACACAGGACTGTGAAACAAACGGGAACAGAGGAGGGGGAGACAACCAGTATGAGGCAAAGTAAGAAGAGGAACTTTTAATTTTAATTCTTTATTTTAGGTTGCCTTTTTAATAACTGGGCAGGAACAAAAGATGAAAATTAGCCAGCTGAGCTAATTCTGGCTCATTTACAGTTACTTTCCTGTTAATTAATAAGCACTGTCCCTGCCAAATAAACAAATAAATGAAATGAAATGAGACACAGGAGAGGAAGAGGAGGAGGTGACGGTGCAGGAGGAGGAGGACGAGGAAACAACCAGTATGAGGCAAAGTAAGAAGAAGTGATTTTATAGGTGAAGAGAGAGAGGTGAGGAGGAGGTGCGGCAGGTACTGACTCTGTGTCGGTGTCTGTCAGAGTAAGCTCGGAGTCTGCTTCACTGTCTCTGCAGCCAGGAGTACCTGCGCACACAGTAAGTTAGTCAAGTCATATCTGCAGGATGTCAAACACACACTTGAAGCATTGTGTAGAAAGGAAATCAAATAATGTTGGCCTAGACGAAGCTGCGTTAGTACCAGGAACTTTTTGTCCCAGGTTTCTACTTTTAAAGGAACTAAAAGGTTCCTTCAGTCCACTGCTGTTTGGGTTCAGGGCACGACTCTTGTGTATTCCAAATTTGGTGCAGATGTGAGCATGTAGACTGAAGTTACAATAACTTCCTGTTTTATGGAGAATTTTGGATGCCACGCCACGCCGTTCCACGAAAACTCATCGTTTGCACAACTTCTAGCCAATTGGTTTAGAGTGCACAGCACTAATCTGAAGTCGGTCGGACTAAATCCCTAGGAGGAGGAGTTAAAGTACAAAGTGTGTAAATCGGCAAAAATTACCATTAAATCCAAATTAAACGTACCACAGAAATTTCTTACATGTAGGTGAAACATTGTCTGGGGACTGCTCTGTTGGCGTCGCTATCAACCCATTTTGCCACGCCTGAATTTTGTGCAAAGTTTGGTGAGTTTTCAAGACAGAAATAAAGAAAGCCAGAAAGCAAGAAAGCAAGGGAGCAAGAAAGCAAGCAAGGGAGCAAGAAAGCAAGGGAGCAAGAAAGAAAGCAAGGGAGCGAGAAAGAAAGCAAGGGAGCAAGAAAGAAAGCAAGGGAGCAAGAAAGCCAGAAAGAAAGAAAGAAAGCAAGCAAGAAAGAAAGCAAGAAAGAAAGAAAGAAAGCCAGAAAGCCAGAAAGAAAGAAAGCAAGAAAGCCAGAAAGAAAGAAAGCAAGAAAGCCAGAAAGAAAGAAAGCCAGAAAGCCAGAAAGCCAGAAAGAAAGAAAGCCAGAAAGCCAGAAAGAAAGAAAGCCAGGAAAGAAAGAAAGCCAGAAAGCCAGAAAAGAAAGAAAGCCAGAAAGCCAGAAAGAAAGAAAGCCAGAAAGCAAGCAAGCCAGAAAGAAAGAAAGCCAGAAAGCAAGCAAGCAAGCAAGCCAGAAAGAAAGAAAGCCAGAAAGCAAGCAAGCAAGCAAGCCAGAAAGAAAGAAAGCAAGAAAGCCAGAAAGAAAGAAAGCCAGAAAGCCAGAAAGCCAGAAAGCAAGCAAGCAAGCAAGCCAGAAAGAAAGAAAGCAAAAAAGCCAGAAAGCAAGAAAGCCAGAAAGAAAGAAAGCAAGAAAGCCAGAAAGAAAGAAAGCCAGAAAGAAAGAAAGCCAGAAAGCCAGAAAGCCAGAAAGAAAGAAAGCCAGAAAGAAAGAAAGCCAGAAAGAAAGAAAGCCAGAAAGCCAGAAAGCCAGAAAGAAAGAAAGCCAGAAAGAAAGAAAGCCAGAAAGCCAGAAAAGAAAGAAAGCCAGAAAGCCAGAAAGCCAGAAAGAAAGAAAGCCAGAAAGCAAGCAAGCCAGAAAGAAAGAAAGCCAGAAAGCAAGCAAGCAAGCAAGCCAGAAAGAAAGAAAGCCAGAAAGCAAGCAAGCAAGCAAGCCAGAAAGAAAGAAAGCAAGAAAGCCAGAAAGAAAGAAAGCCAGAAAGCAAGCAAGCAAGCAAGCCAGAAAGAAAGAAAGCCAGAAAGAAAGAAAGCCAGAAAGCAAGCAAGCAAGCAAGCCAGAAAGAAAGAAAGCCAGAAAGCAAGCAAGCAAGCAAGCCAGAAAGAAAGAAAGCAAGAAAGCCAGAAAGAAAGAAAGCAAGAAAGCCAGAAAGAAAGAAAGAAAGAAAGCAAGAAAGAAAGAAAGCAAGAAAGAAAGAAAGCCAGAAAGCCAGAAAGAAAGAAAGCCAGAAAGCCAGAAAGCCAGAAAGAAAGAAAGCCAGAAAGCAAGCAAGCAAGCAAGAAAGAAAGAAAACCAGAGAGCCAGAAAGAAAGAAAGCCAGAAAGCCAGAAAGCAAGCAAGCAAGCAAGCCAGAAAGAAAGAAAGCAAGAAAGCCAGAAAGAAAGAAAGCCAGAAAGCCAGAAAGAAAGAAAGCCAGAAAGAAAGAAAGCCAGAAAGCCAGAAAGAAAGAAAGCCAGAAAGAAAGAAAGCCAGAAAGCAAGCAAGCAAGCAAGCCAGAAAGAAAGAAAGCCAGAAAGCAAGCAAGCAAGCAAGCCAGAAAGAAAGAAAGCCAGAAAGCCAGAAAGAAAGAAAGAAAGAAAGCAAGAAAGAAAGCCAGAAAGCCAGAAAGAAAGAAAGAAAGAAAGCAAGAAAGAAAGAAAGCCAGAAAGCAAGCAAGCAAGAAAGAAAGAAAACCAGAGAGCAAGCAAGAAATAGAGAAAGCCAGAAAGAAAGAAAGCACGAAAGAAAACCAGAAAGCAAGCATGCAAGAAAGAAAGCCAGAAAGAAAGAAAGAAAGCAAGAAAGAAAGAAAGAAAACCAGAAAGCAAGAATGCAAGAAAGAAAGAAAGAAAGAAAGAGAGAAAACCAGAAAGCAAGAATGCAAGAAAGAAAGCAAGAAAGCAAGAAAGCAAGAAAGCCAGAAAGCAAGAAAGCCAGAAAGAAAGAAAGCCAGAAAGAAAGAAAGCCAGAAAGAAAGAAGCCAGAAAGAAAGAAAGCCAGAAAGCAAGAAAGCAAGAAAGCAAGCCAGAAAGCAAGAAAGCAAGAAAGCCAGAAAGAAAGAAAGAAAGAAAGAAAGCAAGAAAGAAAGAAAGCAAGAAAGCCAGAAAGAAAGAAAGAAAGAAAGAAAGAAAGAAAGAAAGAAAGAAAGAAAGCAAGAAAGACAGAAAGCAAGCAAGCAAGCAAGAAATAAAGAAAGAAAGCAAGAATGCCAGAAAGAAAGGAAGCACGAAAGAAAACCAGAAAGCAAGCATGCAAGAAAGAAAGCCAGAAAGCAAGAAAGAAAGAAAGAAAGAAAGAAGCAAGCACGAAAGAAAACCAGAAAGCAAGAATGCAAGAAAGAAAGCAAGAAAGCCAGAAAGCCAGAAAGAAAGAAAGAAAGAAAGCCAGAAAGAAAGAAAGCAAGCAAGCAAGAAAGCCAGAAAGAAAGCAAGAAAGAAAGCCAGAAAGAAAGAAAGCAAGAAAGCCAGAAAGCCAGAAAGCAAGAAAGAAAGAAAGAAAGCAAGAAAGCCAGAAAGAAAGAAAACCAGAAAGCAAGAATGCAAGAAAGAAAGAAAGAAAGAAAGAGAGAAAACCAGAAAGCAAGAATGCAAGAAAGAAAGCAAGAAAGAAAGAAAGCAAGAAAGCAAGAAAGCAAGAAAGCCAGAAAGAAAGAAAGCCAGAAAGAAAGAAAGCCAGAAAGAAAGAAAGCCAGAAAGCAAGAAAGCAAGAAAGCAAGCCAGAAAGCAAGAAAGCAAGAAAGCCAGAAAGAAAGAAAGAAAGAAAGCAAGAAAGAAAGAAAGCAAGAAAGCCAGAAAGAAAGAAAGAAAGAAAGAAAGAAAGAAAGAAAGCAAGAAAGACAGAAAGCAAGCAAGCAAGCAAGAAATAAAGAAAGAAAGCAAGAATGCCAGAAAGAAAGGAAGCACGAAAGAAAACCAGAAAGCAAGCATGCAAGAAAGAAAGCCAGAAAGCAAGAAAGAAAGAAAGAAAGAAAGAAAGCAAGCACGAAAGAAAACCAGAAAGCAAGAATGCAAGAAAGAAAGCAAGAAAGCCAGAAAGCCAGAAAGAAAGAAAGAAAGAAAGCCAGAAAGAAAGAAAGCCAGAAAGAAAGAAAGCAAGCAAGCAAGAAAGCCAGAAAGAAAGCAAGAAAGAAAGCCAGAAAGAAAGAAAGCAAGAAAGCCAGAAAGCCAGAAAGCAAGAAAGAAAGAAAGAAAGCAAGAAAGCCAGAAAGAAATCAAGAAAGAAAGCCAGAAAGAAAGAAAGCAAGAAAGCCAGAAAGAAAGAAAGAAAGAAAGAAAGCAAGCAAGCCAGAAAGAAAGAAAGCAAGCAAGCAAGCAAGCAAGAAAGCAAGAAAGAAAGCAAGAAAGAAAGAAAGAAAGCAAGAATGCCAGAAAGAAAGAAAGCAAGAATGCCAGAAAGAAAGGAAGCACGAAAGAAAACCAGAGAGCAAGCAAGAAAGAGAAAGCCAGAAAGAAAGAAAGAAAGAAAGCAAGAAAGAAAGCAAGCACGAAAGAAAACCAGAAAGCAAGAATGCAAGAAAGAAAGCAAGAAAGCAAGAAAGCCAGAAAGGCAAGAAAGAAAGGAAGCAAGCAAGAAAGCCAGAAAGCAAGAAAGAAAGAAAGCCAGAAAGAAAGAAAGCAAGAAAGCCAGAAAGCCAGAAAGCAAGAAAGAAAGAAAGAAAGCAAGAAAGCCAGAAAGAAATCAAGAAAGAAAGCCAGAAAGAAAGAAAGCAAGAAAGCCAGAAAGAAAGAAAGAAAGAAAGAAAGCAAGCAAGCCAGAAAGAAAGAAAGCAAGCAAGCAAGCAAGCAAGAAAGCAAGAAAGAAAGCAAGAAAGAAAGAAAGAAAGCAAGAATGCCAGAAAGAAAGAAAGCAAGAATGCCAGAAAGAAAGGAAGCACGAAAGAAAACCAGAGAGCAAGCAAGAAAGAGAAAGCCAGAAAGAAAGAAAGAAAGAAAGCAAGAAAGAAAGCAAGCACGAAAGAAAACCAGAAAGCAAGAATGCAAGAAAGAAAGCAAGAAAGCAAGAAAGCCAGAAAGGCAAGAAAGAAAGGAAGCAAGCAAGAAAGCCAGAAAGCAAGAAAGAAAGAAAGCCAGAAAGCAAGAAAGAAAGAAAGCCAGAAAGGCAAGAAAGAAAGGAAGCCAGGAAGCCAGAAAGCAAGAAAGAAAGAAAGCAAGCAAGAAAGCCAGAAAGCAAGAAAGAAAGAAAGCCAGAAAGCAAGAAAGAAAGAAAGCCAGAAAGGCAAGAAAGAAAGGAAGCCAGGAAGCCAGAAAGAAAGAAAGCAAGAAAGAAAGAAAGAAAGAAAGCAAGAAAGAAAGAAAGAAAGAAAGCAAGAAAGCCAGAAAGCAAGAAAGAAAGCAAGCCAGAAAGCAAGAAAGCCAGAAAGGAACTAAAAGGTTCCTTCAGTCCACTGCTGTTTGCGTTTCCACTGCGGTCTAAAGACCCATGAAGATTATGCAAATTAGTCCGCTGACGTATGTTCTTCCTCTGACCTATACACTGTATACCAAACTAAGGGACAGACAGGCATCATTATGTACTGTATTAATCGACTAATCGTTGCAGCTCTAGTGTGTATTCGTGTATTTCTGTGGGTAAAATCTGGACCCTGAGAGTCTGTAATAAAAAGCTTTGTAGTGTCACGTCATTTGATTCCTCGACAGAGAAAGCGTTATTTCACGTGTTTAAGGCTGATGGAAGGACACAAACAAGAATCGTGTACATTTCTAAAACGCTTTGTTGTCTTGTGATCTCAAAAAGATTTTTCTGTGGTTGCAAAAAGAATTTTGACACGAAACAGAAGAACCAATCTGTGATCAGGGAGTTCTTTTGTATGTTATGTTGACACCTTTTGATCAGATCTTCATCTTGACTTTGTTATATTCCATCAGTACTGTCGCTATTAATGCAGCTTTCACCCACATCTCATGGCTTTCTTCAGTGAATGGAACTTGTGACCTAAGCAAAGGCTTCGGGTCTCCGAAGACAGCTGTGGGATACGGTTCAAAGCTCTACTTGATTTATCTTCTTTGGTTTGGATATTTACATTTCCCTTTGCAAGAATCCTTTTTACGCATGTGTTTAAAAACCCCAAATCATAGCAGTCATAACTTTTAAAAATCACAAGAATCTAACAAAGGATATCAGCATCAGGTGGCTCTCTGGAAAAAAAATATTCTGATTCTCTCTCTCACCCAGACTCAGGTTTCCTACAGACACGATGCTTTCATGGTCTGATCTCTGCAGCTCCTCGTCCTCTCTGTCTCTGAGCTCCTCCTGATTCTCTCTTCTCCAAGTCTGAAAACAGTCAAACAAATTATTGGAATATCAGAGAACGGAATAAGTGATTTTAAAACTGCACATCAATGATCAATATATCAGAGAGTTTGCTGTGTGTGAAAACAGTGCTGTGAAAATACTGTCAACGACAACACTGTTTTCACTCACCAACTAAATCCAGTCACCTCGCCGTTAATTTACCCTCACTGCAGCTCAACATTTCCTGCAATGCTGGATCTAATTTATTGTCTTTTGTCCTTTTTAGTGCCAATTTGAATTTCCTCTACAGGGGATCAATAAGGAACATCTCATCAAGTCTCACTGAGATCAAGACCTCTTTTTTTAAAGAGAGAAAAACAATGCAAATGTCTTCTGTCGTCTTCTGATTGCGCTTGTGAATGCTTCTTTTATTCTTAACCATAGCCTATTTGTACTGTGCACTACAAGCAGTGGGCTATTGAGAGAGAGAGAGTTTTGTCATACTGCACATTGCTGCAGCTCCTCTTTTCAGCCTGTGTTGAAGGCTTCGTTTTAGCTATGGAGTGATACATCTTGTCTCTACATGATCTTTGTTGGGAGTTGCACATGCTCAGTTCCTAGTTAAGGACTACTAGCCAATCAGAAACAGAGAAGGGCGGGTCAGCGAGAAGCCGGTAAACGGCTCGGGTTCAGCCGTACGTGTTGCCGACCAGCTTGGCAACATGGACTGGAGCGAGAGTTTCAGAGCGGCGAGTTATTAATCTGTATCCATAAAGTTTTAACTGAGCTCTGTCTCTACATCACAGGAACAACTTTCTGTCCACTGACTGCCTGGAGGGTAGCTAGTGTTCGCTGTTTCTGAGGGCGTGTCGGAGTAGCCGCTCGGCGAGCGTTATATGAGGCGCGTTTAGCTTTCATCCCTGTGACTGGACTACAAACGAGCTGTTTTCAGTTCAGAGCAGAGTTTTCTGTGGGAGATGGGAACTCACTTTGGGCTTTTTCACTTTGCAAACCTATTACATGCACAAAAAAGATATATAACTCAACAAAGGAGAGGGAAAAAGCCAAAAACCAGACACCACAGTCCAAAATGATAAGAATTATTTTGCTACTATTATTACCAGACATTCATAAATGTATGAAAGAATTTTGTACAATACAATAATATTTATAAAAATCATTATTTGTCTATTTAATACCGAGTTCGTCAACTGCAGTTCGAGTAAATTTCATCTTTGTTGCATTTTACATTTAAAAGTTACGCCGGTCTTTTTAAAACTCTCCATATTGAATCATAAATCGTTTTCTAGAGCACAACGTTAGCCAGTTCACACAGTATATCAAATGTCTGTGACAGATGTGTTCAATGCGTTAGCTAATCTTTACAAGACGTTTTTTCCTGTATGCCGTCATTTTCTCGCCCTTTAAAGGCGGCTAGATCTTCACTTTACACTCTTCTTCTGAGGTCTTATAGCGAGACATTTACAGAGTTTTTAAAAATATATTTTATCATTCTCATTTTATCTGTAAATATGTGGGGAAAAGTGGAGTGGAATATTTTTGTATAAATCCATGAAAAAACAATATTTTTATCAACCGTTCTGTAAATATCTGGGCCATTTGGTATATTATCACAATAAAACCAAAAAAATCCATCTGACTCTTATCAATGTGCTGGAAAATGGATTTGTGTGATATGCAAATCAGCGCAGATTTAATGAGGAAATACCTCATTTGCATATTAAAAAATGAAAAACATACATAGTTGTAATTGAGAAAAAAAAGCTATGTTTACATTTCATTTGTAAAGTTTTATTGTGATATGAGTAAAGTTGAGAAAAACTGTGGCGTTCAGTTGGTGGCGTTACAGCACAATGTTTTAAAATCTTCAAATGGAGCGAGAAGGAGCGTCCTCGTGATTTCACGCTGGTCAGGGATCTTTGATACACGACTCATTGCCCTTTCTCTATCCTCCTGTTTTTCCTGTCTACATCTCCTCCTGTTGTTCTTGTACACAGGTCTCTCCTGACAAAGCCAAATTATGTTTATGTCTAAGCTTCACTAACTTTAATATTCAAAGGGAAACTAGAAATAAAAAGCTTGTCTTGATCTCTCTGGCCAGAATCTACAGCATAATATGGCTTAACATTGGTTCACGCGCTGAGCTCGACGCCCTCACCTCCTCTGCTCCTCCGGCCTGGCTGAAGGAGGTGCGTTTCCACTCCTCCCATGACGGAGGAGGTCCCCTGGGGAGGGAGGCCGAGCTGTCTTCGACTTTCTTCTGCGTCTTCACCTCCCTCTCATTCTTTCCTTCCACCTCCTCGTCCACGGCCATCTCCCTACCCTCCTCCAGAGGCAGGAGGGTAGAGGTCCGAGAGAAGGAGGTGTAGCGAGGCAGACCTCCATCCAGGATCAGCTCCGGCTCCTCCTCTTCTTCATCTTCTTTTTCTTGTCGAAGGTCCTCTGGCAGGATGGAGCCATCGCCGAAACCCTGAAAAACAACACGTTAAAGATCAGCTAAACACTTAAATGCTAAAGCTAACATGCTCACAATGACAACGCTAAACATTAAAGGCTCGGGTTCTGAGTTTGAGTTAATCAGCTGATTGGAGCTCTTCTCAGGTTGAACTTTCTGTATTATAAATTAGGGATGCACCGAAAAGAAAATTCTTGGCCGAACAAAGTTTCACATTTTTTTCCCATTGCATAAATTAGTCAAAATGTGCTTTTTCCTCAATGTTTCCCACAGGATGTGGAGAGTCTATGGTGGGGTGTCCAGGGCCCAAGAGGGTCCGGTAAAGTAAATTACATGAGTCCATTTCCTTTTAATAGACGCATGCAATACGTTTTATACTTTCTGTGAATATAATCCTCTTTCTGTGAATTTAATCCTATTTCCATCCTGTACAGACGCCTTATTTTGAAAACCGGACGTTGTTGCATGCGTTTCCTCCTCGTCGCGCTAAATCCATCCAGTCCGACCCGGTTTGATAAATAATGTTGTACGTGGTTCTCGTACGGCGTAACATGAAGACTTCACAGCCTCTCTTCAGGCAGGACTCTCATACTGCAACACTTGTCTTTGTAAAGAGACAAACTGACAGGATAAAGTCTCTAACCTGCCTGTCAGCTCGCTCTGGGCCGGTTCACTTACCGTAAAGGCTTGAATACGTGTGCACTCCAAATTTAGGTGCGGCTAGCTTAATCGCCTTCTCACAGACAAGTGACAGAAACACTCAAAGCAAGAAGTCAGCCACAGATGGAGTGGATGTGCTGAGAGACAGTTCAGCAGAACAGCGTCTGCAAACGGCTCAGACACTTTAAAATGCTTCCACACTGTCAACATGTCAGCGTGATGTATTAGGCCGAACACCGAAAGTGTTGGGCGGGCCCTCACAATTGTAGCGTGAGGCGGCTGCGTTGCAGATTCTGGAGCTCTGCCAGTGCATCTGTGAGTTTGCTACGCGCTTCGGACGCTGCATGAAGGTGTTATACGTCACTTCCTGTGCCCCCTTTGTGGCACTGTAGAGCACTTGGCGATACGACTATAAATGAATATTGGTGTGTAGATGTGTTCGGGTTGGGACAGTTATCAAGCACGTAAAGGTTTGTGCAGATTTGAGCATGTACACAGTTACAACAACTTCCTTTGCCACGCCACCACCACGCCGTTTACTGCAAACTCACAAGTTTTGCAACATGGCTTCAACAATGTGTTAAGGGTTTTCTGGGACAGTTTTGAACTTGATATGTCCGACCGGTTAGGAGTAGTACATTACAGCGTAAACGTGTCATTTCCTGTTGCCAGCAGGTGCCGCTATGACTTTGAGTGAATATTGGCATATGGATGGGTTCAGGGCGCGACTCTTATGTATTCCAAATTTGGTGCAGATGTGAGCATGTAGACTGAAGTTACAATAACTTCCTGTTTTATGGGGAATAATACATTTTGGATGCCACGCCACGCCGTTCCACGAAAACTCACCGTTTGCACAACTTTTAATCTAGCCAATGGGTTTAGAGTGCACAGCACAAATCTGAAGTCGGTCGGACTAAATCCTTAGGAGGAGGAGTTAAAGTACAAAGTGTGTAAATCGGCAAAAATTACCATTAAATCCAAATTAAACGTACCACAGAAATTTCTTACATGTAGGTGAAACATTGTCTGGGGACTGCTCTGTTGGCGTCGCTATCAACCCATTTTGCCACGCCTGAATTTTGTGCAAAGTTTGGTGAGTTTTCAAGACAGAAATAAAGAAAGCCAGAAAGCAAGAAAGCCAGAAAGCAAGAAAGCCAGAAAGCAAGAGAGCAAGAAAGCAAGGGAGCAAGAAAGCAAGGGAGCAAGAAAGCAAGGGACCAAGCAAGGGACCAAGAAAGAAAGCAAGGGAGCAAGAAAGCAAGGGAGCAAGAAAGAAAGCAAGGGAGCAAGAAAGCCAAAAGCAAGAAAGAAAGAAAGCAAGGAAGCAAGCCAGAAAAAAAGAAAGCAAGAAAGCCAGAAAGAAGGAAAGCAAGCCAGAAAGCAAGAAAGAAAGCCAGAAAGCCATAAAGAAAGAAAGCACGAAAGAAAGCAAGAAAGCCAGAAAGCAAGCCAGAAAGCCAGAAAGAAAGCCAGAAAGCCAGAAAGAAAGCAGGAAAGAAAGAAAGCCAGAAAGCAAGAAAGAAAGCCAGGAAAGAAAGAAAGCCAGAAAGCAAGAAAGAAAGCCAGAAAGCAAGAAAGAAAGCCAGAAAGACAGCCAGAAAGAAAGAAAGAAAGAAAGCACGAAAGAAAGCAAGAAAGCCAGAAAGCAAGCCAGAAAGCAAGAAAGAAAGCAGGAAAGAAAGAAAGCCAGAAAGCAAGAAAGAAAGCAGGAAAGAAAGAAAGCCAGAAAGCAAGAAAGAAAGCCAGAAAGAAAGAAAGAAAGAAAGCAAGCAAGAATGCCAGAAAGAAAGAAAGCAAGAATGCCAGAAAGAAAGAAAGCAAGAATGCCAGAAAGAAAGAAAGCAAGAATGCCAGAAAGAAAGAAAGCAAGAATGCCAGAAAGAAAGAAAGAAAGCAAGAATGCCAGAAAGAAAGAAAGAAAGCAAGAAAGAAAGCAAGAATGCCAGAAAGAAAGAAAGAAAGCAAGAAAGAAAGCAAGAATGCCAGAAAGAAAGAAAGCAAGAATGCCAGAAAGCAAGAAAGAAAGCAAGAATGCCAGAAAGAAAGAAAGAAAGCAAGAAAGAAAGCAAGAATGCCAGAAAGAAAGAAAGAAAGCAAGAAAGAAAGCCAGAAAGAAAGCCAGAAAGAAAGCAAGAAAGAAAGCAAGAATGCCAGAAAGAAAGAAAGCAAGAATGCAAGAAAGAAAGAAAGCAAGAATGCCAGAAAGAAAGAAAGCAAGAATGCCAGAAAGAAAGAAAGCAAGAATGCCAGAAAGAAAGAAAGCAAGAATGCCAGAAAGAAAGAAAGCAAGAATGCCAGAAAGAAAGAAAGCAAGAATGCCAGAAAGAAAGAAAGCAAGAATGCCAGAAAGAAAGAAAGCAAGAATGCCAGAAAGAAAGCAAGAAATCAGGAAAGCAAGCCAGCAAGAAAGCAAGCCAGCAAGAAAGCAAGCCAGCAAGAAAGCAAGCCAGCAAGAAAGCAAGCCAGCAAGAAAGCAAGCCAGCAAGAAAGCAAGCAAGCAAGCAAGCAAGCAAGCAAGCAAGCAAGAAAGCAAGCAAGCAAGCAAGCCAGAAAGAAAGAAAGAAAGCAAGAAAGCAAGCAAGAAAGAAAGCGAGCAAGCAAACAAGAAAGAAAGCAAGCAAGCAAACAAGAAAGAAAGCGAGCAAGCAAACAAGAAAGAAAGCGAGCAAGCAAACAAGAAAGAAAGCGAGCAAGCAAACAAGCAAGCAAGCAAACAAGAAAGAAAGCGAGCAAGCAAACAAGAAAGAAAGCGAGCAAGCAAACAAGAAAGAAAGCGAGCAAGCAAACAAGAAAGAAAGCAAGCAAGCAAACAAGCAAGCAAGCAAGCAAACAAGAAAGCAAGCAAGCAAACAAACAAGCAAGCAAACAAACAAGCAAGCAAACAAGAAAGAAAGCAAGCAAGAAAGAAAGCGAGCAAGCAAACAAGAAAGATGGGTCTGGGACTATTTTTTTGGACATCCTGAATTGCAGGTAAATGAAAAAGACTCATTAAATCAGTCAAACTTTAGGCTCCAGACACTGAGCCGTCTGCCTTCATCTCCTCCGTGAAGAAACTAAACTGTGAAACCACAGCTCGCACTAAATCTAAAACTTGACTTACTTTGAACATTAGCCTTCATCTCTGAACACATAAAGGTTTTCTCCAACTCCCCAAAGAGCCTTCCTCAGCAGATACTGAGGGGATATCCTGTTCTTAACATTACGACACAGACATTAGCCCGCGCTGGGAAATATTAATGACAACACTTAGGCTAATTTCCATCGACGAAGCCTCATCGTCAAGGACTCTGTTCCTCTTCTTTTAATTTGGGCTTGGGAAGCTGGCCCATCACGGCCGTATAATGGAGGTGAGGAGCAGACGGCAGCAGCAGCAGAGAGCTCATAACGCTAACAGGATGTTCTGCAGACTGATGTGTATTGGCCGTGACTGCCTGGCCTCATATTCATAAGATTTAAAGACGTTGTCATTTAATATCTCTGCCATTAGGCGATGAGGACAGTGGAGATGACGAGTCGGCTGGGAGAGCAGCTACAAACTACAAGGCCTGTTTTCAGATCATGCAGCTCTCAAAGAGACGGTTTTTTGATCTGGACGTGTTTTGCTGCACAAATGGCATCTACTGTCCAACAATTAAAACGTCAATAAATGGTGAGAAGTGATTAGATGTGCCTGGTTCTGTTTTATCTGGACATCTCAGAAACTCAAGCGATCAGACCAGATAAACCACATCTGGAGGAAGCCTGGCTCATACTTTGATCTCAGCAAGCTGTAAATAACATCTGCAATTAATGCTCATTTTACTTATTGATAAATCTGTAAATTACTGTCTTGACTGCTGGTTCTGTCCAGAGCACAGCAGTGAAACAGTTCGTGTCAAAAGGTATTTTCTCGTGAACTGAAACGATGGACAAGTGGACCCTTTGACCTGTTGGTGGCGCTAAATGACAAGTTTAATTAATAGGGAACATGAATGTTTCAACCAATAGTTGTTGAGATATTTCAGTCTGGACAGAAGTGTCAAACCATCCAAGAGAACCAGGAATCAGTTTAAAGCGGGAAATCTGATAATGTGTTGGCAGCATAGTCTGCACGTTTCCCTGTACTTCCTGTCATACTTCTGATCCAGGCGTATTTTAAGCAGTGGCAGACAAATATTCAGATCCTTTACTTAAGTAAAAGTAAAGAAACCACACTGTAAAAAATACTCTTTAAGTAATATCCTGCATTGAAAATGTTACTAAACTAAAATAATGTAAGTATAATCATGAAAATGTACTTAAAGTATTAATTGTACTCAAAGACACACCTTCTCAATACTTGCTGTGTCCAATCCAAAAGCCGGAATCTTATT